GCGGACTGACAGGTCATAGCTCTTACTCTCCAGGCTGTATTAATATGCACGACGTGCTTTTAGCTCCTCGGACAAAGAGACCGTTACTTCGCAGGTTCCTCAAGTGGGACTCAGAAGACCGAACCGAGCTCCAGCCTTTTACAAGCGCTGGTCCTTGCCCCTTTTGGCATCTTGGTACTTGTAGTTTTGTCCACTGTATCTTTGCCCGAAAAATGAACGCTGAGACCACAACTCCCATCACCCCGCGAGAACTGGAGCCTTCAGAGCGCATCCTCTGGAGGGGGCACCAGAGCCATTGACCAACCTTCTGGCCCAAGGGCCCGCCTTCCTCAGCCCAGGAGCACCCATGATTAGTCGGCTGCCCAGCCTCTCACCGGAGGGGGCGACAGGTGAATGAAAGGGGGGCGTGCCGGTGCGCGTAGCTCGGCGGCGGCGGGGCTGCAACCCGCTGGAAGGTGAGAGCTGAGAAGAGGGTTTACGCTGCCGCTTTCATTGGCTTGGGGAGGATTCGGGGCGCGGGGAGGGGCCCGAGGTGGGCAGCGGGCAGGGATGTTCCGCCTCGGTCGGCCTCTCTCGGACCGTCCTGCGCTGGCGAATCCCCGGACCCAGCCGGGCGAACCCTCACTCGATGAACGACCCCCTCCCTCCCCTCCTTCCCTGACATTGGGTTGCCCCCTACCCCGGGCGTCGTCCAGCGGGTGGTATGGGCACGCGCTCATTCTGATGGCGCCAGGTCGCTGGGGCAGTGACCGTCGCAGCGATGGTCACTTTGTCCGGGAGAGGCCATGGGAGGGGCAAGGCCTCGGTTCTCACCCTCGGGGGCCAAAGAACATGTACAGTAACGGGTTCTGGTGATTTCTGCAGGGTCGTCTGGCTCCGGATGGGGAAGGATCCCCTTGTCTTGCGATCAGTTTAGCTGGTGAATCAACGATACAGTTGACCCAGAAATACTTTCTGTGAAAGTGGAAACTCTTCTTGCGAGTAGTTCCCCAGCACTCCGTGCGTTGGGGAAAGGAGTGAGTGAGTTCTCCAGCCCTTCTCGCGGTTTCCTGGAGGGTTTGGGAAATCAATTTGGCATAGTGGTTAAGGATGTCAACTCTGGGATTCAAACGAATCTCTGTCCCAATCCTAGCTTCAACGTGTTATCTGTAAATCTGAACCTCAATTTCCTTCTCTGAAAAAGAGGATATAATGATTTTATCTACTGCACTGAGTTATTGTGAGATTAAAATTAATTAATGCTTGTGAAGTATTTCTTACAGTGCTTCATGAGGAGTAGCGCTCAGTACATGCTAACAATTGATGAGTGGGTTTCCATGATTCTCCTGTTGGTGATACTGGAGGAGTGTTGTCAGAAAGAGTGGGTGGAGTTCAAAGCTGCTTCTGGCACTGGAGTGAAGACAGTCTTGCGATCCCCTCGGGGGTATGTCGGAGTTGGTTGCAGGTACTAGTGTTGGCATCTGCCCTCTCCTGGAGGACATGAGCTGTACTTGGTTCATTTTTCTATTCCTAGCATCTTCCTTGTGTCAGGCATTGCTTGTAGCCAGTAACTGTTGAATTGGAACCGTGGGAAGGTTGGGAGTGTCACTGCCAGAATGTGGATGAATGTGCTTCTGGGAGCCGTGTGCCCTAAGAGCTTCCTTTCCAGGAGAAGTGGTGATTCTCAGCATGTGCCAGGGATGCAGAGCCCTGAAGGCAAGTGGGACTGATGTGAATAAATACTTCCACATTGTATGCCAGATGCAGGGTTGGAGAAAGGTTTGAAGAAAGTATGTGGATAGAGTTTTGCAAAGTCAGGGGGTATTTATACGACCAGGTAGAATCTAGAATGTTTGCAGAGAGGAAGCCAGAGGAAATGGGTTTTGGGTATTATTGCTGGAAAGGAGCATCTTACAGTGAAAAAATGCAAGTACCTGGGAGGAGGCCCTGTAGATAAGACCATTCTACAAGTTAAGAAGTATTGGGCCTACTTAGGTATTTATCTCCCTGATTTACCAACTCCTTATCCCTCTGCGCCTCCTCCTTTTTCTTCTTTGCTAGAAAGGAAAGAAAAAAAAAAAGCAATATATGCACACAGTAAAAGATCCTAACAGTACAGAAAGTTTATAAATGAAAAATGAAGGTCCTTCCACACACCTCTTACCCCTAGTCCCTCTTCTCAAGGATATCTGCTGTTAATTCTTGCTCATAAAACCTTCCAGAAAAAAATTCTTAACATATACCAGCAAAAACATGTACATAGATCGGATCATACTGTACATTTTGTTTTGAATCTTGCCTTTTTCCTTAATATATCTTGGTGACTTTTTTATATGAACACAGACAGCTCTAGCTCATTGAATGCATGGTTGCATAGTATTCCACTGTGTGAATGTACCTCGTTGATTTAATTTGTCCCCTACTGGTGGACATTCAGATTGTTTCTACTTTTGCACTTGAACAAAAACCTCATGCAATGGATATCTCTGTACTTTTGACTTGATGTACTTTTGGGAATACATTCAAAAGGGTAAGTTTTTAGCCATGAAATTTTGGGGACAAAAGATGTGTACATTTTAAGTTTTGATAAATATTGCCAAATTCCCCTCTAAAATGGTGTTCCAAAGGACAGTTCCATCAACAGTGGATATTATTACATTGAAAAATGTGATTTTACCAGTCTGATAGGTTTTCTTTCAGTTCTGAGGAAGAACAGAATGTGGTTTTTAAATGTAGCATTCTCTTGTGTCTTGTTTTCCCCTTAATATTTTGATTGCCAAAGCCAGGAAGGTTTGGAGTGGCTGGAAGAGGTGAGAATGACAGTGAAATCTTAGTCCTGTGAAAACTTTCAGAGCTGATTTATTTGGGAAGAGTAGAATTTTTCAGATATCTGACAGTTCTCTTCCTTTCTGAATGAAAATGTTAATTATAACTACTTTGGATGAAAAAAACAATTCCCCAAATTATAACTTCCTTGAGTCTAGAGTGAATATAAAAAGAATCATCTTGATGACTTAGTCCCACCTATTATAGCCCTGGGCTATAATTTAGTGATGTCCTCAGGCCATTTTGAATATGTAGGAGTATTTAATACCCTTAGTCAAGTGGCCTCAGGCTGATATTTTGAAAAAATTTCTGGGTCTGTTTTTTATAACTTTTTTACCTTTTCCTAGCTGTCAGTTCTCACTTTTAAGTTTGTCAGTTTACTTGCTTAGAGAGGCTCCTCTACTTCTTTCCCTAACTGGTTCTCTAGCTTCTAAACTTAATGCATCACTTGTTATAAATATGTGTAAAGTAGGTGTAAATTGGCATTTAACGCCGTTGTTGTTGGTCTTTTATGAGTAAAGTCTGTTCGGTTAGCACATAGGCCTTGAGGGATCTATTTGGCCAGTGGAAAGAGTCTTTCTGGGGGGTGGAGGTGCCTCATTTCTGTTGGGTGAGGTAATTGTTGTGTTCCATTTGCAGAAAGAAAGAGTGCTGAAGAGTTGTTAGCTGTGGTTGGCAGCTCTAACTAGGCCTTTTGGGATTCCGATAGAGGTAGAAGATGTAGGAACTTCTCAGAGCTCAGTGGGTCAGTAAATAAAAGGGGTAAGTTGATGGATGGCTGCGTGCTTTGTGTGATGGGAAAAGATGGAGAGGAGAGCTCGGGGTAGGTCAGCTTCTGTCTTCCTCATTAGCAGACGGATTTTAAACTTGATTTATACTTGTTCTACTTAGCAGGTAAGAAAGGAGTATTCCTTTGTATTTAGCAAACCTACTTTGTCCAAAGCACTCTGCCAGGGGCTGTGGGGGAAATCTATGAAGTAAGGCACGGCTCATGCCTTCAAAGGGCTTATAGTCCACTGACAGAGAAGGTCCAGGACATAAAAATACAGAGGAGAGAACCAAGGGTTGTGGAGTCAATCAATTAGGAGTGTCTCTGTTGTAAGAGATAGAAAATCCAACTCAGACCAGCTAAAGCAAAAAGGGACTCAATTGGCTTCTGGCACAGCATGAGCTGGGGCTCAGATGGTGTCCCTGGGCTCCATCTGTTGCTCCTGCTTGAGCTGGGCTGTCATCTGTGTTAGTCTGGTTCCCCTTGTGGTGTGGCAGCAGCATCCCTCACATCCCACATGCCCACCGAGTAGAGAGTGCTCTTTTTTGGAGACCCCAGCAAACATTTCATTGCTTTTCATTGGCTCTGACCAAGTCACATGGCCATCTCTGAGCCAGTCACTGTGGTCAGAGGGTAAGATGTGTTGATGGTTTTAGCCTATGTTACCTCTTACACGTCCGGAGCCTGGGGATGGTGCCAGCGTTATGCAAAGCACGTTGGCTGTGGTTGGGGCCAAGGATGATTCCACCAAAGACAAAAAGGGCACTAAAACCATAAGAATGGAGAATGCATGCTGGCTAGCCCAAGCATCCACTAAATGTTTCCACAAACTTATGGTAATGGGTGTGAGCTGAGACTGTACTTGCCAGTCTCTAAGTTCTGTACTGGGACACTGGAGACTTACCTGGAGACTGTAATTCTTAGATTCAGGTATTATCTATATTTTGAGCCTTGAAGAAAGTAGAATGTAATTTATAAGAGCATGAACTCTGGAGGTTTTGAGTCCTGGCTCTGTTGCAACTGGATCATCTCCTATCCTCTCTGAGTCTTAAAAGTACAGTATTAATAAGTACAATATTGTAACGTATAATATTAGTACTTACTCCTAGGGTTTTTATAAAAATTCATTGAAAGAATTCATGTAAAATACTAAGTACTGCACCCACGTACAGTTAGGAATAGTTACTTTTCTTGTTTTCATCAGTTAACCCAGTTAGACAACCTTTGATTTTTGTTAGATCCCAAACAGCCCATATTATAAAGACATTGCTCAACCAGGGTTTATGGAAGAATTAAAAGAAAAACAAAACAAAACAAACAAACAAAAAACGAACATCTTATTTATAAGGTTGGGATTTGTGAATTAACTGAAAAAAAATTTTGGCAGAGATCCAGGTTACTCCAAGCGGCAGCAGCTGGTGGAGAAATGGAGATGCAATCCTATTACGCCAAGCTCTTGGGGGAATTGAATGAACAGCGGCAGAGGGACTTTTTCTGTGACTGCAGCATCATTGTGGAAGGGCGGATCTTCAAGGCCCACAGGAACATCTTGTTTGCCAACAGCGGCTATTTCCGAGCCCTGCTCATTCACTACATCCAGGATAGTGGGCGGCACAGCACTGCCTCCTTGGACATCGTCACCTCCGACGCCTTCTCCACCATCTTAGACTTCCTCTATTCTGGGAAGTTGGATTTGTGTGGAGAGAACGTGATTGAAGTTATGTCGGCTGCCAGCTACCTGCAGATGAATGACGTGGTGAACTTCTGCAAGACATACATCAGATCATCCCTAGACATCTGCGGAAAGATGGAGAAGGAGGCCGCTGTGGCTGCAGCGGTGGCAGCAGCGGCAGCGGCAGCGGCAGCAGCGCCTCATCGGGTGGACAGTGGAAGCTCCAGTTCAGGCAGGGAAGGGACCTCCTGTGAGACCAAGAGCTTGGTCTCTCCAGCCGAGGGGGAAGAGAGTGTGGATCGGCCCAGAGAGTCCCACTGTGGTGACTGCAGAGGCTGCCACCCTCTGGCACTGGTGGGGAAAGACAGCCAGGGCAGTGGCTCAGTGGACAGTGACTGCCCCATTCGACCCAAACAGATGGAGCCCAAGGTGGAGTTCGATGCCGAGGAAGTGGAGGTGGAGGTGGGTGGACAGCTGCAGCAGCGTACTGCCCCGCTGAGCCTGGCCCATGGGGAGGAGGGTTTGCCCAGAGGCCAGGCGGTCGACTTGGCTTATAGTAACTACCATGTGAAGCAATTCCTGGAGGCGCTCCTGCGCCACAGTGCTGTCCAGAGCAAAGAGGACGCGGACCAACACTTTTCTCGGAGTTTGGAGGGAAGACCAGGTGGTGCAGAAGTAGCAGCCATGAGTTCCATGATGGATGTGCAGACTGACTGGTATGGAGAGGACTCAGGTGAGCTCCATGAGCCTCCATTGTCTGCCACTCATTTAGCACGCACTTGTGTGCCCTCTGGTCTCCCACTGTCATCCTCATCACTGGCACTGTCACTATTGTCATCCTCATCACCACCATCACCACTGCCAGTGTTATCACCATGTTATCACTGCCACCACCGCCAGTAGGTATTAATTGAGCACCTGCTGTGTGCAGGGCATTGCCTCTTCACGTATGTTTGTCTTTTACCTCTGCAACTAGAGTATAAGCATGTTGAGTGCAGTATGGAGACATGGAAAGAACCCATTCTCTTCCACTAACCAGCAGAGAGACTTTGGTTAAATCATGAAATTTCTTTGAACCCTTTTTGTTCAGGAGATAATCACCCCCACCTTGCCTCTCTCACAGGGTTGAGGACCAAATGAAAAGGTTTTCAGAATTTTTTCTCACATATGAGAACATGTTCTATACAGGTAGGAAATTTATCCTTCTTTGTGTCAATCATGGTGCCTGGCCCACGTAGACACTCAGTTAACATGTTGTAGTTGATGGTGTGATTTACTGGAGAATATTTTAGAGTTGAATTTGGTTTCATGTGAGTAAATTTCTTGTATCCTTTGGGAGACTTTTTAAACAGGAGAAAATCAAACAGAAATTTAATAACATGAACACATAGGAGAGACCCAGGAAAACTGAGTCTGTCTGGAGACTTTTAATTTCTTTCTTTTTTTTTCATTTTTACAGTTTTTAATGAAAGATTACTTCATTCCTGCATCTAAATTTCATTTTTAAAAAAATCAAGAATGCTCTGTATGTCTGATTAAAACTTGACTTGAAAAACTTGAAAGTACGGTTTCTGGTCTTCAGAGACAGTGGCTTAACCAGCATGTAAAAGGTAGTGGTTGTTTTCAGTGACTACACTGTGGGAACTTGTTGAAATCTAATTTCCGTGTATATAGTAGCACTTCACAGACTGTGTCCCCCTTTCCCATCCAGCAGCCCCTCATAACGCCACATGAGTTAGGTAGAAGAAGTGTGGAGAAACTGAGACCCAAGAGGGTTTAGTGAGTTTCTTAAGAATGCAGAGCTGGTAAATGTCACAGCTAATACTAGCAACCCTGGCTGGCTTCGTTTCACTCATAAAACAAACTGTGAAGGCAGTACAAGCGATTAGAGGATTTCAGTGCACTGGTTTAGTCTGTCAACCCCTCTGCCTGTAAGCACAAGTATCAAGAAATAGTAATTCAGCTGTACGTCACCCTCATTCAAGTCCATCTGTCCATCTGTAGAGGCAGCTTTCCAGCTACAGGGATCTGTGGCAAGGCAGCCATCCCAGCCGCTTGCCATGCCTGTTGCCTGCCAGGTGTTGATTCGGTTCACCTGGCTCTGGGCTACATTTATTCCAAGCGCCAAGGCACAGAGTAGGACTGATTTGTTTGGTTATTCCTTTATTTGCTCAAATATCTGAGCATCTTCCTTGTGAAGATACAAAGATAAGTCAGATGTGGCTCCAGCTCTCAAAGAACTGATGGTGTCTTAGAGGAGTTAAGAGGTGTGTAAATGGCACTGTGTGGTCCAGAAGCAGAACTGGCTTCCTACTGGTAGGTCAGAGGCTTTATGAGAGTGGCATCTGAGTACTCACTACTATATATAAAAGAGATAAACAACAAGGACTTACCGTATAGCACAGGGAACTGTATTCAGTATCTTGTTATACCTATAATGGAAAAGAATCTGAAAAAAATACATGTATATGTATAACAATCACTTTGCTTTACACCTGAAACTAACATAATATGGCAAATCACACTATATTTCAATTTAAAAAAAAGTGGCATCTGAAGGTAAGAAGAGAAGACATGGGGAGAAATTGTAGTCAGATCATGGAAAAACTTAAATGCTAAAATGTGGGTTTCTATCTGTAGGCACAGGAGAATTTTTAGTAGTTTCTGAGCTTGGGAGTGGACAGGAGAGATTAATTTGGCCTCAGCACAAGATGGTGCAGAGATGGGAGATGAGGGCAGGGAGACGGTCAGGAGGCTGTTACAGTAGTTCTGTGTTCACATTGCTCATCTCTGACACTAGCAGACACTGTCAAAGCACATGGTCCTCCTATAATCTTCTCCGCTGGACCTCCCATCCCCAGCTCCAGCACCTGCCATTGCTTCTTGAAAAGTTCATCTATATCAGCCACCTCCACTGTTTTACTTCCCAATCTTTTCTCAGCCCACTGTGCTCTGACGCTACCACCAACTCCCCCTTCCCTGAAACCACTGTCATGAGGTCAGCTATACATTTCCAGGGCCGATCCAGGGAGTGATTTTCAGGTGTTATCTTTCTTGACTACTCTTGGTAGTTAACTCTGATCTTTCCTTCTTGAAATTCTTTCCTCCCCTGGCTTCTGACACTACAAGTACCGATTGCTCTTACCTCTGCCCATTCCTTTTTTTTTTTTTTGCGGTACGCGGGCCTCTCACTGTTGTGGCCTCTCCCGTTGCGAAGCACAGGCCCTGGACGCGCAGGATCAGCGGCCATGGCTCGCGGACCCAGCCGCTCCGCGGCATGTGGGATCTTCCCGAACCGGGGCACGAACCCGTGTCCCCTGCATCGGCAGGCGGACTCTCAACCACTGCGCCACCAGGGAAGCCCCTGCCCATTCCTTTTCAGCCTTATCATGGGGTCATTTAATGTAAGTGTGTCAGCATTCCACCATTGCCTTGCTTCTTCAACATCTTATTCCTGTTCATTCATTCATTTAACAGAGATTTACTGAGCACTTCCTATATTCCAGGCACTATTCATCTCAGTGAACAGAAGACAGTCTTTGTCCTCATGGAGCTGATATTCTAGTGTAGGGAGCCGGACAATAAACCAGTAAGGACATTTATAGTATGAAGAAGAACTAAAGCAGGGACAAAGCTGATAGAAAGTGAAGGGGATGCTGTTTTATTTAGTGTTGACCAGGAAGGCCTTTCTAACAGGTTGCCTTTAAGTGAGCAAACTGTAGAGATATCAGGGAGAACATTCCAGGCAGAGGGCAGAGAAAGGTACAAAGGCCCAGGTGTAGGATTGCACTCAGCAAGTGAATGAAAGGAACAGCAAGGATGCTGGTGTGGCTGGAGTGGAGTGAGCAAGACAGAGAGTTGTGGGGGATAAGGTCAGAGAGGTTGAGTGAGGGCGGACTGGGTAGGGTTTTGAAGGCCATGAGAAGGCCTTTGAATATTGCTCTTAGAAGGAAATCCACTAGAGGATCTTGGCAGAGAGTGACTTGAGATGACATATATTAAAAGGATCCCTCTGGGTACTGTGTGCTGTCACCTCCTAAGTGGGCCTCTTCCTTCCGCTCTTGCTCTCCTGTTGACTAGAGGGGAGCATAGGTGGAAGCAGCAGGACCATTTAGGAGGTGACTGCAATAACCCAGGTGACGGCTGTGCTCCTTGAATCAGTGTGGTAGCAGTAGAGAGGTGAGATGTGGTTGGATTAGGACTATACTGTCTCTGAAAGGTAGAGCTGACCAGATTTGCTAATGGCTTATATAAGTGGTATGAGAAAAAGAGGCATTAAAGGTGATCTTAAGGTTTTTAGCTTGAGTGATTGATTTAAATGTTATGTTTGTGGTGCCTTTTGGATATCCCATTGAAGACGTGCAGTAAGTAATTACATCTATATGTTCGGAGTTCTGGGGAGAAATCAGAGCCGAGATATAAATTTGGGAGTCATTAATGGGTCCATGAAATTTAAAATCTTTATGTTCCATGAACCTATAGATCTAGAAGGAGAAGACAAGAGATCTAAGGACTGAGCCCTGACCCAACATTTAGAGGTCAGGAAAATAGGGGAACAAGCTAAGGAAACAGAGAAGGGGCAGCCAGTGAGGTAGGAGGGAATCAAAAGAGTGATAGATGCCAAGAGGAGAAAATGTTTCAAGAAAAAGGGGAAATCAACTATGTCCGGTACTGTGTATAGGCAGATTGAGAACTGATCATTGGGTTTAGTAATGGAGAGGTCATTGATGAGCAGTATCAATGAAGTGGTGGACAAAAGACCAAACAGAGTAGCCTTAAAAGAGAACTCAGGGGTTCTGAGTTCTGGCTGAAAGGGCATATGAGGTTAAGGTTTTTATTAAGGTGGAGGATCTAAAAGCATTTCTTTACTGATGAGAATGATCCAGGAGAGAGGAAGATAAATGATAATGGAAGAGTGAGGGACAATGGATAGATCGAGGAGAGATGGGGGTCCCATGTATAAGTGGAGGGATGGTCTCGCCTTGGATGGGAGGGAGAACAATTGATTCATAGTAACAGGAGTGAAAGTGGATTAGATGTGTTCATATTGGAGGTTGGGGGGTGGCTGGGACCATGTAGACGTTCTCTTCTGCTTGCCCCTCCTTCTCAATGAAATAAGAAGCAAGGACAGCTGCTGACAGTGAGGAAGGGGTAGGAGGGGTGGGAGATTTGAGCAGTGGGAAGGTATGAAATAGTCACTGAGAAGAGTGGGAGAGTGAATGAACCAGGGAAATACTTAGGGTTCTTGGGCAGAACCAAGGGCTCTTTTTTTTTTTGGTACGCGGGCCTCTCACTGTTGTGGCCTCTCCCGTTGTGGAGCACAGGCTCCGGACGCGCAGGCTCGGCGGACATGGCTCACGGGCCCAGCCGCTCCGCGGCATGTGGGATCCTCCGGGACCGGGGCATGAACCCGTGTCCCCTGCATCAGCAGGCGGACTCTCAACCACTGCGCCACCAGGGAAGCCCCCCAAGGGCTCTTTTGATATTATAGTAGTCAGATGGTGATGGTTGGATTGATTTAAAGTGAGACCGGAACAGAGTTGTGCATTTTTTTCCAGTGACGTGAACTTGCCTTGTTTCACCTACAGAATAGGCAGAGAGTTATATTGAACTAGATGAATACGGATAGAGGGAGACAGTGGACCAAGGCAGCTGAGGGCATATGCAAAGGAGTGATTTTATTGATGGGCTGTAGGCACTCAGCTGGGGAAGGAGGGGAGTGAGGACTCGAGGAGGAGAAGGGCAGTAAAATGGAAGTATAGTCCATGGCTTGGACGTCCCTGTAGAGAAGGAACACCTACGGGGTGAGCTGGAAAGATATAAAGCGGTGACTGGAAAGTGGAGCGCTTGAAATGTGGGTTATGGAGTGAGTACAGTTATTGGCAATATCTAGGCCTGGGGCCATGATTCTCATCCCTGTCCGTACATTAGACTGGGAAGGATGCTTTAAAAATATGATGCTTGGGTCCCACCCCACCCATTAGCTTGGGATGGGGATTGGATATCAGTATTTATTTTCATTTTAAGCTGCCCAGATGATTCTAATATGCAGGCAGAGTTGGGAGCTCTTTGTCTAGGATTGGGTGGCTGAGGTGGAGTGGAGGATAAGGACTTTGGAAGAAAGGAGGTCCGGGAACAGAGAGGCCAGGGTATGGCGAGGGTCATTTTCGGTATTCACACCAAGAATTATGCCAGGAGTTGAGCCTGAAGGCAATGTGATCAAATCTCCAAGGAGTGAGGGGATGATCTAGGGGCCCCTGGATGACTGTAATAAGGATGAGTAGCAGTATCATCTGATGGGATGAGCTCCAAAAGATCTTAGGCTTTTTAAGGAAGGAGGGAGGGACAGTGGTCTGGAGATGACAGTGAAGCACAAGGAAGACCACCCTCCCCTGATCCAGGGTGTCAAGGCAGTGGGTTAAGGGAAGCAGGGTGCTTAGGGGAGAGCCAGACCTCAGTTAAAGCAACCACTCCAATCTGCTGAGGACTCTCAAAACTGTATGCTTCTCTTCTTTCCCTGAGCTCCAGATGTATCTGTCTAATCCAGATATTCCCCCCTGGATGCTCTGAGCCTGCCTCAAACATCGTAAAACCCAAACAGACCTCCTCATCCATCCTGCACCTGCTTTTCCTCCTGTGTTCCCTGCCTCGGTTTATTCCACCGTCACCCACCAAGTCAGCTAACCCAGAATCAGTGTCATTTAGAATCTTCTCTTTCCCTGCTCTCTCCTCCCCAATGTGGTCATCGAGTGCTATTAATTTTACTTCTCAAACCTTTCTCCTTCTCTCCACCTCCACAGCCCTGGCTTTAATTCATGTCATCGCTCATCCCCTCCCACCTGGACTTCCTGCCTTTAATCTTGCCTCTCTTAAATCCTTCCCCTGCATTATCCCCAGAGGGATCCTTTAAAGGTCAAGTCTCACCTTGTACCTTCCCAGCTTAAAACCCCACCTGCTTAGAGAATAAAGTCCAAGTTCCTTAACATATCAGCTTTGCAGAGGCAGGGATTTTTGTCTTTTCTGTTCACTGCTGTATCTCCAGGGCTTAGAACACAGCCTGGCACATCATAGGTGCTCAGTATAAATTTGTTGAATAAATGCATGAATGTGACCTTCTTGACCTTTCCTTGCCCTTTCCTTGGCTTCATTCCTCATACCTCTCCACTCCACTTAATATTTCATATTCTCATTTACCTCTGTGCCTAAGCATGTGTTGTTCCCCTGCCTGAGATACCTTTCTCTTTCTCAAACTCCCAGTGAACTCCTATTCATCCTTTAAAACCTTGCTCAAAGGTCATCTCTCCTGTGAAATCTTCTCTGAACTCCAGGAGAGAATTCATTACTTTATTTTCTACATTTCTTCATCACTTTGAACTTTGCTTGTGTTGTATTATATTGTATGAATTTGTTTCCATGTCTTTCTCTCTTGCTAGACTTAACTTCTTGAGGGAAGAAACAGGTATCTTGGTAAAGATGCACCTTGACACAGTGCCTCGCATGTAATAGGCATTCAGGTGAACTGTTTTTTTTTTTTTTTGGAGCAATCAGATCATAAGAGAGGAAGGAAAGTGTTGCAATAATTCATACTCTTCTGATGGAAAAATAGTTAACAGTTGTTTTTTTCCAAGGATTAACACTGGACCCATTTTACTGAATGTTTTTATAGTCGGAAAGAAGGTGATAGTACAATGCCAGGCTGATGGGGATAAATGACGGGAAGAGTCCACATTACCAGAGGAGTGAGCAGGAAACTGGCATCTCAACACCAGTGTGATCAGTGACAAATAAATAATCCAACATATATATGCAGTGTTGAGCCATGAGCTGCTGCTTTTATTCTGGGAAACAGATTTTGGAGTCACTATAGATTATGCAAAATGTTAAGCATTATCAGGATGGGAACTAGAAACTAAAGAGAATAATCTTCACCCGTACATAGAATGATGTTGGGTTCTCACTTGACATTCAGCTTGCCATACTTTTGGCAGCACCTCAGGAAAGGTAAAGCCCTATTAGGTGTCCTGAGAAGGTCCCAGAGAAAAGGAGTTACTCCCGTGTTGAGAGAGACCACAGGAGCCTGGCCAGCTTAATCAGAAAAGAAACACCGAGGTGATGATGATGTGACAAAAATGGTTAACATTTATGAGAGCTTACTATATGCCAGCTGCTGTGCTTTAGGCAATACCTCATTTCATTCTTACTACAATCCTATGAGGTGGGAACTATTATCCTCCCTATGTTACAGATGAGTAAAGCACAGAGAAGTTAAGTGAGATGTGCAAGGTCACACAGCTGGTAAGTGGTAGAACCAGGACTTGAACTCAGGTTTCTGTGCCTGGAAAGCTTGAGTTACTAGTGCCTCCACATATAATATGATGTGATCAAAGTCTGTAAAATTCTGAAGGGCATGGATAGAGGAGACAAATCTTGGAATACTACAATAAGGGTAACTCAGGAAACTTGAAAGGAACAGTTTTTATACATGTGGGTGATAATCATGTTGTCACCTTAACGGGTGTATGAGCAAGGTGGAAAAAAAAGAGTTCTAAAATATTTAAGTGAATTTTTAAGATATTTGATGATTTCAGATATATAGAGTTAATATGAACTCCAAACAATGTAGGGTCTGCATCATAGCAAACCACTTCTACACATGCCTGGAAGCTATTATTAGGAGCTGCTGTCAAAGAAATCATGAATACTGACCCAGTGGTCTGTTCCATCATAATAGTTTTTTCAAACTTTTGAGGATCATTAAATCAACTCAGGAGGTTTGTATTAGCCAGCTCAGGCAACCATAACAGAATACCACAGACTGAGCAGTTTAAACAACAGAAATTTATTGTCTCACAGTTTTGGAGGTGCAGAGTCCAAGATCAAGGTGCCAGCAGGGTTGGTGTCTGGTGAGAGCTCTCTTTCTGGCTTGCAGACGACTGCCTTCTTGCTGGTCCTCACATGACCTTTCCTCTGTACAAGAGTAGGGAGAGGAAGCCATCTCTGGCATAGTTTCCTCTTCTTATAAGGACATCAGTCCTACCAGATTCGAGCTCTACCCTTATGACCTCATTTAACCTTAATTACCTCCTTAAAGGCCCTGTCTTCACATATAGTCACATTGGAGGTTATGGCTTCAATGTATGAATTTGAGGGGGATGAAATTCAGTCTAGAACAGGGTCTCAATCATTATTGTCCTAAAATGAAATCAAAGAGAATAGACATTATCAGAGTGAGTATTATTTTGGGAAGCTTTTCAAGTTGTCTACATGAAGATATATGTGTTCTAAGGTTGTAATATAAGCTGTGTTTTCTAACTGTGAGCCACAGAGAAGTTTCAAAGCTGAGGCCTTACAGCATTCCTTGCAATCTTGTATCAGAAGCCCACCTTCTCCTCTGGCTGACTGGGAGCCAGAGTGGCAATTTGCAGACACTGTTTCGCTGTTAGCTGCTGGTGGAGTTGGGGTCCTTCTTCTCGACCTGGGCTGGTCGAACTCCCCTGCTCTGGATCCCATCCATCGGAGGGCGGCCAGTGTTGTTGCTGCTCACAGTACCATTTGGTTCCCCAGGTGGTGTGCTGGTGGTGCCCATCAAGCTGCACAAGTGTCCTTTCTGCCCCTACACGGCCAAACAGAAGGGCATCCTTAAGCGTCACATCCGCTCACACACAGGGGAGCGGCCCTACCCCTGTGAGACCTGCGGCAAGAGGTTCACCCGCCAGGAGCATCTGCGGGGCCACGCGCTCAGCGTAAGTGGAGGAGCTGGCGGTTCTCTCGGGACGGTGGGGTGGGAGTGGCGGTGGTTCATGACGTTCGTCTAATGTGAGGGCAAGGCCAGTCTGTATTTCTCTTCTCTGTCCACTGGGGTATTTCCAGAGAATTTTAAACATGTATTTCTGCTACTAAATTACACCTGGGTTGGTGGCACTTAGAGAAAGTTAAAACTTATATGGTAACAGACTAGTTTGCTTAGGAGGAAAGTTAAGAAAGTTTAGACCCTAGTCAGGAATGGTTGTCAAAAGGCAGAGAACACTGAGGCTTAGACAGGGGATTGTGGGTCTGTTCCCTGTGGTGTGATGCCAGAGGTAAGCTGCATTCTCGGTTTCCCACCCAACCTCAGCACCCCGGGGTGGGGAAGAGATATACTGCCACTTATAGGGCTACCTGTGAGCAGCAAAGAGGACCCAGCCCAAGCGGACCTCCCCTCCCACTGGCTGCCGCCTAGGATTCTGTCTCCCATGTGAGTGGGTGATTCCTACCTGCTAAAAAGCATTCAGGCCATTTAGAAAGGCATTGCATTTAAGATCGACTTTGAGCAAGGCAATCAGTCTTTGGAAAATCCAACATGAAAATGGTTTGGATTTCAAAAGACACTATCAAGAATGTGAAAAGACAACCCACAGAATGGGAGAAGAATCTTTGTGAATCATTTATCTGCTAAGGATCTAATAACCAGAATATATAAAGAATTCTTGGGCTTCCCTGGTGGCACAGTGGTTGAGAGTCCGCCTGCCGATGCAGGGCACACGGGTTCGTGCCCCGGTCCGGGAAGATCCCACATGCCACGGAGCGGCTGGGCCCGTGAGCCATGGCCGCTGAGCCTGCGCGTCCGGAGCCTGTGCTCCGCAACGGGAGGGGCCACAGCAGTGACAGGCCCGCGTACCGTAAAAAAAAAAAAAAAAAAAAAGCTTATAATTCAACAATAAAAAGACAACCCAATTAAACAATGGATGTGAATAGACGTTTCTCCAAAGAAGATAAACAAATGGCCAATAAGCACATGAAAAGATGCTCAACATGATTAGTCACTAGGAAAATATAAATCACAGCCACGATGAGATGCCACTTCACACAAACTAGGATTGCTATAATAATAATAAAAAAACCAAAAACAGATAGTAACAAAGTGTTGGCAAGGATGTGGAGACACTAGAACCCTCCTATACTGCTAGTGGGCACATAAAATGGTGCAGCCCCTGTGGAAGAGAGTTTGGCGGTTCCTCAAAAGGTTAAGCATAAAGTTACCATTAGGACGCAGCAATTCTACACAAGAGAACTAAAACAGACATTCACACAAAAACTTGCATACAGATGTTCGTAGCAGCATTATTCATAATAGCCAAAAAGTAGAAACAACCCAAATGTCCATCAACTGATGAATGAATAAACAAAATGTGGCATATCTGTACGATGGATACATGTTATTCAGCCGTAAAATGAAATGAGTTCCTGATACAGGCTACAGCATGGAACAACCTTGAAAGCATTATGCTATGTGAAAGAAGCCAGTCACAAAAGGCCACCTATCATGTGATCTCGTTTATATGAAATATAAAAAGTGGGCAGACCTATGGCGATAGAGAGTAGATTAGTGGTTGGGGCATGGGGGATGGGAGAGGCATGACGGTTAATGCGCACAGGCTTTCTTTATGGAGTGATGAAAATTTCTGGAATTAGATGATGGTGATGGTTGTACAACCTTATGAGTATACTTAAAACCACTGAATTGTACACTTTAAAAGGGTGAATCTTATGGTATGTGAATTATGGTTTTGAAAGAATCCAGATTTAAGATAAATACAAGGTTACTGACTGCCTCTGCTCTCAGTGCTGGCCCTAGCATACTTGTCTGAGAGTGGCCTTACCCCAAGGCCTCAAGTTTTTGTTTGTCTTTTTTTTTTCTTCAAATTATATCTCCAGTCCATCTTGACAACAATAGGTCCCTGGGTACCTTTAAGATGTTTCATTGGTTGGAATCCTCATTCCTTCTATTTTTCCACCTTGTACGAGGCCCAGTCTACTGCAGCCCAAAGACGTAGTCTTCAAAGGCTCCATCAGGTTGCAAGGGTCACATACACACTCGGGTTGGCTCAGGCATTGGGGGTTTAGCATAGGAAGCCCAGGAAACCTCAGGGGAAGCAGGGACATAGGTCAGGATGTAACGGCAACTCCAGCAACTTGGGTATTGTTGTTGACCCTTCTTCTGCATCAGCCTCTCTCTGTCACTGCCTCTTGTGTGTATCCTGCATCCAGAGCTCTCTAAAAGAGAGGCTCTGATTGATTCACAGATCCCCTATTGGCTGGAGTTCCTGAAAAGTGCATGCATTAGAAAGATAGCTCCTTATACAGAGGGGACCCCTGGGACTGCTGCCCTCATAAGGAGCTGCACGGAGTAGGAGATCAGGTTCTCTTTTCTAGTATGCAAAGCTCTTTTCATAAGTAAGGAATGCATTTATCAATGAAAAAATCAAGGGTGAAGCATCTGCTGACACTTTTAGAGAATACACTGTCTGGCAAATCTGCCTTCCTAATGGCTAAACAATCCAAGGTACGTAAGAGGCCATGCCTAAAATCCTAATCGGTTCACTGAGTGCCCTTTATGTGCCAGGCACTAGGGATATAGTAACAAATGTGACAGAGGACAGAGAACATGAATGAGGATAGTCCGTGACCTCCTGGAGCTTAGAATCTAGTGAATTTTACCAATGATTTGTTAGAAATAAAACAAAGGGAGAAGTATAGGTGAGACTGTATAGCTGGGGGACCTAATCTGGCCTGGAGTATCAGAGAAGACTTCCTTGAAAGTCATTAGTGGGAATTCCCTGGCGGTCCAGTGATTAGGACTCTGAGCTTTCACTGCCGAGGACGCGGGTTCCATCCCTGGTTGGGGAACTAAGATCCCCGTAAACTGCGCGGCACAGCTAGGGGGGGATAAAAAAGGCATTAGTAAGGAGGGAGGGGTGACCGTGGGGAGGAGGGCACACTCCACGCATGTCCGATGGCCCTGGGGTGGAAAGGACCTTGGTGAGGCTGAGACTGGCAGAGAGAGCAAGAGGGAGAGTGGTGAGAAATGAGACTGGAGGGTCAGCCAGGGGCCATGTCTCATGGGGCCCTGAAGGCCATGACTCAACCCCTTTTCTGTGACATTTACTGTGCTGGTGATTTTAGGTCCATAGGTCCAACCGTCCAATTATCTGCAAGGGCTGCAGAAGAACCTTCACAAGTCACCTGTCGCAGGGGCTGCGGCGCTTCGGGCTGTGTGACAGCTGCACCTGCGTTACAGACACACATGATGATGATGACGAATTGATGCCCATCAACCTTAGCCTGGTGGAGGCTTCGTCCGAGAGCCAAGAAAAGAGTGACACAGACAATGACTGGCCAATCTACGTGGAGTCTGGTGAGGAAAACGACCCTGGCGGAGAGGATTCAGAGGATAGACCCCAAATTCAGCCCAACTTATCAGATGGAGAGATGCTTACGTAGCAATAAATGAGTGGAGAAGAGGGTTTAGAATTTGTTCTTGCCAGTCCTGTGGTTGAAAGCCACCCTTTGTCCAATTTTGTGGAACCCTGAGAAGAACATTTTTTCACTGTTATTTGCATTTCTGTTAGACTACATGGTGGAGGTTGGATTCTGTGACTCAAAGGACTTTTTAGTGCCGCCCTTGATTTCTGAAAGCTTTCTGAGTGAATCAAGGTTGGCTCTGAGGCGTCCCGTTTTTCCTGCCATGCATCCAAACTCTGGTTTGAAGGAAGATAACAAAATCTCCATACTTTTTTCATAGTGTCTCAATCTTTCTGCATTCCTGTGTCGTCATCCTCTTGCTCTGAAAAGGTGGGCAAGAATATATTAAGTTTTGAGATCAATCTTACTTCTGCCAAGCCTCTTCTAATGAATTCCATACTTTAATTTTCTGGTGAAGTATTAAGGAGAAAGTTTCCTTGATATAAGGCAGACACGGTCGTCTGGCTATATGACTGTAAAAATTACTTTCTAAATCTAAGATTGCAGTGTTAAAGGCTGGGGGTGTTTATGTGCAGACAAGCATGGAAATGAGCTGAAAGTTTCCTTATGGCACTGTGACTTGCCCCGTTGAATTAAATTTTAAGTTAGCCCCGGGAAGGGAGCCTGAGAGCCCAGGTCTGGGTGGTTTCCCTGTTTGGCTTGGGATTTAACAATTCTGTGCACACAAATAACCTGTTTTATGATCATAAAACAAGGCATTTGGGCAAAACTCAAAATGCTCCTATGCGTTTTCCAGCCATTTCCAAGAAGCCACTACTGTGTAACCTGGAAATGCAGCCACCACTGACATTCCTTTACTTCGTTTATGAATAGAACTCTAATTGGAGGGAAAGGGTAAGCCAATATAAGCAAGTTATATGTCTAAATTGTTTACCTTTTAAAAGATCCTTTGGAGGGAAAGGGAAGGTTACTAGAAGAACAGGTTTTTAAAACGAGTCTGCTTTTCACCCACTTTGCAGCCATGCAATTATTCTAACAAAAGAGACTGTACTTCTTTAAAAGTCGAAAGAGCAGGAAATATTAGGGATTAAAGATATTTAAGGCACTTTCATAATTTTGTCTTATGTTAAAGTATCCAAAATGAATTTTCTTCCTTCAGTTTTACTATAGTTGTATTTCAAAAGACGGTAAAAAAAAAAAAAAAAAAAAAAACACTTTCCTTTCTGCCTCTTGAACAAAAAGAGATAATCAAAAAATTGTAAATTGGCTTGTAAATAAATGTTAGCATTGAAGGGTTCAGAAGGTGTTTAAACTGTACTTCTCAATAGAAGTTAGAACCCTAGGATGGTGCTAGCCCCAGACAGCAGCTGAATTCTTGGACCCCAGTCCACACAGTAGGACCACACATTGGCCTGAAGTAGACTGGAAGTTTAAAAACCGGTCTATTAACAGAGATAGTCGGAAAATTATTGTTCTAGATCAAGAATTACACATTGAAAATTTTCAAGGACCAGAAACACTTCTTACCAGCAATGAAAATATTAGCGTTGTTTTAAAAGCAGGACCTTAGCAAAAGGGAAACCTAAAAGGAGGTGTAGAAGATATACTTTGCAGGGAGTTATGTTTGATATTTTCGTTCTCTCCGTTCAAAGCGTTTCTGATGTTTTCATATGACTTTTCTACCTCACAGTTCAACGCTCTGCCTGCTTTCTCTGGCAGAGCAGTGATCCTCTCTGGTGACCCCATAACCTATTCACATCACTGGGTGCCAAATAAAAAATTTTACATTAGAGATTACACTCTAAGACAGTGATTTTCAACTGGGGGTGATTTTGCCCCCCAGAGTACATATATCTGGCAATGTCTGGAGACATTGGCTGTTTGGAGTTTGCGTGTTGGCATTGGGAATAGCTGAATTCGGTCACTGAATTCTATCACTTTTAAAGGAGATAATTCCTCTGTGTGGACTATCAGATAATAAACTGTCCTCAGTTTTAAATTTATGTTCCCATTTGGTGGTCAGCATTTATAATCTGCACAGTGTCTTTGAGGTTTAATTTGTGGAGTTGGTGATATTTTTATAAGTAAATTCACAGTTGGGCCCAATGCAGACCATTAGTGATTTAGTTTATATTTGGCATCTTTCTGGCATATTCAGTCCAAGTTTGCAAAGGGATTTTTTTTCTAATATTACATATACTGCATGGATGGGAACAGGATTTTTACTTGTAATGGGATTGAAAAGCGGCACCCTTGGGAAGTTGTTTCTTTTGGGAGAAGGAAACAGGCTTTCACAGGGGTTGGAAAGGAATATAAATAAGGCCTGGATCTGTAATACCTTTAGAAATGACATAGAGCATCATGGCTTCTGGTCATTTGGCAGAAAGATGCCAGTCTGATGTAAATATTTTGGTGGTCACTGTACTTTGAATATTCCTTAAGAAAGCTATTGACCCAGTGGTCTGCAGAATGTTGTGAAATAGAGTATCCTGGAGGTTCAGAATATTATGAAGGGTTTTTTTATTTTGTTGTTGTTGTTAATTGATGTTGTAATAAACCCCACGTAGAGAAAGACAACAGGCAGGGCTGCATGCACTGATTCTGAGGGCGGTGGGGAGACTGGAGTGGCCTTTGGTCACTTGAATTCTTACTGTTTCATTTGGACGTCTAGGTTTTTCTTGTGTGTCCTTTGTGCATTGACAATAGAATTATCTCTGTGAAGTGTAATGTAATAGGGTAGAGAGGGGCAAGGGGATGGGGTGGGTGAGAAGTTCCTGTTACGCTCTGTTTTGAGCATTACCACTGTACTTCCTGTCATTGTTGGTCCTTTGTAACTTGCTTTGTGCTTTCATGTGTTCGTGCTGTCTTTTAACCCCAAAAGGGGGGTGCTTTATTCAGTTGCTTATGATAGGCAATGTTTTCATTGATTTTTGCTCAATATTTCCACCAAATATTGCTGTGTTCCTCAAACGTTTCATTAAAGTTATGAAAATTTGAATTCTTTTCTTCAAATAATGCTTCTGTAGAGTTAAATGAAAAGTTGTTTGTTTGGCAAGGGTAGTTTGGTTGGTTTCTAATACGTCCTAGTTTTCAAAGGTGACACTAACTCACACCATTGTGATCAGATGATATGGAAGCTTCATAACTTGAGGAGGACATTTAGCATCTGTTCTGACCCTCCAGATGGATAATTTTACTACTGCCAATGCTTCATTGACAGCTGTGGTTTGGGGAAACTATTTTTATATCCATCATTTGATATTTTGGCCCTCTGTCAGTAGCATATTAAAAATTAGTGGGGGTTAGGATTGGGATTATGTGTTCAGATGAAGAAGGTTTAGCAGTAACAAGCTTGGGGATTTTAAGGGAAGGCATCAATTTGACATATATGTCTTGATCACGTGTAATGGATATGGATTATCTGTCATGCAGACTGTGAAGGGTATGATTAGGATTTTTTTGGAAGCAGAAGAATGTGCCAGACAGTTTCACTTCTTTCTATTATCCATAGTCTCTGAGGAGCTTCTCCTGCCACCAGAAAAAGCAAGCAAATAGTAATACGGTGCCCTCCAGGGGTCTACTTAGGCACAATCGAATGTTTAGAAACATTCAAACTCATAAACTACCACAGCAGATTCACTTAGAAGGACATAGGATGGGAAGCACGGGTCACCAGCAGGGCAGAGCCAGTCGTTGCTCCTCCGTCGGAGTCCCTGCCTCTGTCCCTGTGGTTCAGGTGCAAGGAGACAGACACACATCAGGCAAGTATGGAAGCTATTCTGGCTTAAAAGCCTCTTGTCCCATGGGGGCAAGTATCTCTTATAACAACTCCATAGAAATAACTTCCAGGGTCCCCACAAGAGACATGTCTCTTCCAAGAGTCACTGTGGTTCAGGAAGCCCAGAGGTGTGGCTTCCTATCAGACATTTGTAGTTCTCCCAGTCTGGATACAGTTCACCAGTTCGGGGTCATTTCTACCATAGGTAATGTTGCCTAGCAACATGGTTGATATACTACTGTTTATTAGGTTGCCAGGGGAACAGAGCTAGAAAGTTAACCCAAGGTTAAATTCTCACACAGAAGGGGAAAAGGTTTTGTTAATCCTTTACCAAACGGTATGCTGAGCAATTAAATAAGAGTTATTGCACCTAGTTCCTATGAAATATAGCCAGAGGAATTTCCTGTTAAAATGTAGCCCACACCAACTCACTTTTCCTTGAAGAGTATTCATTCTTTGTGCTTAGCTACTCATGATTAATACACTGCAAATTTTGCTGAGGTATGTGTAAGAGTTGGATAAATGGTCCCGTCAAAATTATCCCATCAAAATGTCTTGTATCCTTTGGTGCTACTCAGAGTAGGCAGGTATAATATAACATACTATAGGGACATCATTGAATGGAAATTTCTGGGGATCCTATCAATCACACTTTGATAGGAACCTATGTCCACCTGGCAACCACCAAACACTAGGCTCTTGATAATGGTGCCTCTTATTACTGTATCATGTGATGCTACCCTTGCCTGCTTCTGTTGCTCCTGGAAGAGCAATAAGTGAGGACAGCCAGTTATTTATTCAACAGTTATTCAATAATTATTTATGGAGTCCTTATTATGTGTCAGGCACTGTACCCCTGATGTACTGTCAAGGGTACATCAATGAACAATTCCTGTCCTCGCAGAACTTGCACTGTGTAATCAGGGGGGCCAACAAACAACACAGTTTGGGGTGTGACAATAGGGGCAAGGACAGGGTGCCCTGAAAGTGCTTGGGTAGAGCAACCAGCCCAGTCTTAAAACCTCAGAGAAGTCTTTCTTGTCTAAGCTACTGTTGTGGTGGTCCTTCCCGTCCAGTAAACTTCGTGCTTTGGGATACAATTTATAAGCAACTTAAATAGTTTCTGACATTTCCTGCCTTTTCCAAACATGGTGGCTTTGGACATTAACAGTGTTTAAATTACATGCTTTATTCAGGTATATAAAAATATTACAAAAATTCAAAATATCCTAGTCGTTAGAAAATATGCATCAGATGCTGTGGGATTTTTTGTGTGTGTGTGTGGTACGCGGACCTCTCACTGTTGTGGCCTCTCCCATTGCAGAGCACAGGCTCTGGACGCGCAGGCCCAGCAGCCATGGCTCACCGGCCCAGCCGCTCCGTGGCATGTGGGATCCTCCCGGACCGGGGCACGAACCCATGTCACATGCATCGGCAGGCGGACCCTCAACCACTGCGCCACCAGGGAAGCCCAGATGCTGTGGTTTTCTTATTCAAGAAACAACAACAACAGGGACTTCCCTGGCGATCCAGTGGTTGAGACTTCGCCTTCCAATGCAAAGGGGTTCGGGTTCGATATGTGGTCGGGGAGCTAAGATCGCACATGCCTCACATCCAAAAAAACCAAAACATAAAAAAAACCCATAAAACCCCCAAAAAACAGAAGCAATATTGTAACAAATTCAAAAAAGATTTTAAAAATGGTCCACATAAAAAAAGAAAGAAAAGAAACAGCAACAAATAATCTACCAACAAATAACTTCTCCACCCCCTGTAATAAGTTAGAAGAAAGGTATTGTTACTGTGACAGATGTGGAGGAGCCCTATTGCATATGGATCGGGTCTTGGTTGACCATGTAAACCAGTTAATTCCCAGACCAGATAGATATGGAACAGAACCATTAAATCAAAGGATTTGAGAAATAGAAAGGACTTTGAGGATAGTCTCCTCCAGAGAGATTTTACAGAGAAATGAAATGACTAGTTTTTAGTTCCCACACAGCTAGTTAGCATCAGAAACCAGATCCTGTCAGGCCAACGCTGATAACAAACAAACATGTTTGGGCAGGCACCAAAGACCATCTGTAGACAGCATTTGTTTCCTCGGGTACCCATCAAACTAAAACTACAGAAGAGGAAATGGCTATTTTAGCCTCATGTGGCTTTGTGTGATCCTGGCCTGAATTCTTGTAATGCTTAGACAGGGAGGGGGAAAATCATATGTTGAACATGAGGGAGTTAATTTAATTTCTTTTCCTATAATACATATATATATATATATATATATATATTTTTTTTTTTTTTTTTTTTTTTTTTTTTTTTTTTT